CCAAAAGAAATGGAGTGATTGATATGCTATTAATAGGGAGTTTTAATTACAATTATGGCAGTTAATGAAATGCTTGGAATAAATTATAAATAAAATATGAAGTTTGATGGCAACGATGTAAAAACATAGGAATACTATGACATCTTATATCTTACTGGTCAATTAAGTTTGAAATTGGGTTTTACACATACATTTATAGAATGATGGGTATATGTCTAGGAAATAGAAATTGTAGGCACCTATATTGGACAAGCCCTAAAAAAAATTAAAATCATACCCTGATATTTACATCTTTGTTTCAATCCATGTCTTTCAATTTCCAAACAAAAAACAATTGGAATACTAACTCTTCCTATATTGCAATTACTCCACTCAATTGACACTAAATATTTTCATAATATTATATATACAATGTGTTAGACTCTCCAACACACTCATACTTTTTCTTCGTCACCATATGCCCACTTTTAGTTTACAATCAGCTAGCTATTGAGCACTTGAGGGAAAGGGTAGGCACTTAAACTCTTAAACCCTTACAATCAGCCATGCTCAAGAGTGCCATTAATGTATCGATAGATCCTTTTAATTAACAGCCTGGAGGTGAGTGGAACACGGATGATGCATGAATTGGAACACCAGATTCACTGCAAAAGCGATATCGGGGTGAGACAAAGTGAGGTACTGGAGGCCCCCAACCATGCTTCGGTACAATGTGGGGGTCAGAGATTGGATCACCATCATTTGCAGAGAGTCTGGTGGAGGAGAGCATTGGTGTGGGACTTGGTTTACATGTTGCCATATTAAATTTGGTGAGGAGGTCAGATGCATAACGAGCTTGAGAGATTGATAGACAGTCATTGGTGCAACAAACTTCCATGCCAAGAAAAAAATTGAGCTTTTCCAGCCTGCGACTATCAAAGGTTGAACATAAGTCATCAATGAATTTGTTAATTGCAGGAAGAGTACTACTTGTGACAATTAAGTCATCAACATACACAAGGACATAAAGAGTATGAGAGGTTGTATGACGAATAAAAAGTGAAACATCAGATTGACTGTGGAAGAATCCTTGATGAATTAAAAAAGAATGGAGTGGATGAAACCATGCACGGGGGCCTATTTGAGGCCATAGAGTGCCTTGTGGAGTTTGCAGACATATCTGGAGCGAAGAGGGTCAGCAAAACCTAGGGGCTGCTTCATATAAACCTCCTCCTATAAGATACCATTTAAAAAGGCATTACGAACATCAAGTTGTTTCAAGGGCCAATTCCTGGAAAGAGCAATAGTTAAGATAGTGCGAATAGTAGCTGGCTTGACAACAGGACTAAATGTTTCATCATAGTCAAGGCCCTCCATTTGATTAAAGCCCTTGGCAACTAAGCGTGCCTTGTGTCTTTCAATAGTGCCATCGGCTTTTCGCTTGACTTTGAAAACCCATTTACAGCCCACGACGTTCATGGTTGTTCATAATATTATATATACAATGTGTTAGACTCTCCAACACACTCATACTTTTTGCATCACTGCTTGCCAGTGAGGGAATTTGGAGGCTTGAGTATAACTTGTAGGCTCAATTGAGAGAGGATCCATAAGAGTTGCAGTTAAGGCATGGGGGAGAGGATGACGTGTGGAGTCGTAGACAAGATTATGAAGGCTGCGAAACCCACATGGTGGTGGTGTAGTGGCTAAAGTTGTCGGAGATGACTCGATTTCTATTGAAGGAGGGGAAATGCTTGCAGATTGATGAAGATGTTGGTCGGGTGGAGATGAAGACAGAGTAGAGAGCGGAAGAGGTGTTGCTGGTGGTGAGAGCTGACTGTCCGTAGCAAGGTTAGAAGGAGGTGGAGTAGTTAGAGGACATGGAGATAAAGGAACATGAGGAGGCTCCAATAATGTGGGTGTAAGAGGTACTGACCTGTGATCATTAGAGGACTTCGATAGAATATTAGTGTAAGAAAAATCAGATTCATCAAAAGTAACATTCCTTGAAATATACACTCGCCCAGAGATTGGTTCAAAGCACTAGTACCCCTTTGTAGTGATTGTCATACCCGAGAAAAATACACTTAATAGATTTGGAGGAAAGTTTATGCTTGTTATATGCCACTAAGTGTGGAAAACATGTACAACCAAAGGATTTGAGAAACCGGTAGTCAGGTGGGCATTGGAACAACTTCTCATAGGGTGAAACTTGACCAAGTTGTGCAGTTGGTAACCTGTTGATAAGAAAGACAGCAGTGGAAAAGGCTTCGAGCCAAAAACTCGAAGGTAAGTGTGATTGTGACAACAAGCAAAGTTCCATTTCAACAATATGTCTATGCTTATGCTCAACAATTCCGTTTTGCTCTGGTGTGTGAGGGCATGAAATGTGATGTGTAATGCCGTGTTCATGAAGAAAATTAAGGAATAAACGATTTGTGAATTCACCACCACCATCAATTTGTATTGGTTTAATATAATGGTTGTGTTGTTTTTCCGCCAATCTTTTAAAGAAGACAAAAGTTGTAAGCACATCGGATTTCTTTGCTAAAGGATAAAACCACACAAATCGAGTGTATTCATCAACAATAGATAAATAATAACAAAAACCAAAATTTGATGAGACTGGGCTGTTCCCCATAAATCTAGATGAAGTACTGCAAGGGGTTCATGAGCATAAAAAGTTTGATTTGAAAAGCGAAGTCTACATGATTTTTGAGTGTATTCATCAACAATAGATAAATAATAACAATAACCAAAATTTGATGAGACTGGGCTGGTCCCCATAAATCTAGATGAAGTACTGCAAGGGGTTCATGAGCATAAAAAGTTTGATTTGAAAAGCGAAGTCTACATGATTTTCCTAAGGGGCAAATATGACAAGCCTTATTAGAATCAACCTTACCACTAATAGGCAAGTGAAATTTATTAAGTAAAATACGAAAAACATCATGAGACGGATGACCAAGTCTTGTATGCCAAATATCTTGGGTAGTCCTTTCACCATAAAAGACTAGCTTCCATGTCCCTGAGATTGTAGGATCTGCTTGAATATTGTACAAGTCGCTAGAGCTACTGCCAGTGAGTAATGTCCTCCTCGTCATATTGTCCTTTACATGAAAACCATTAGCATGCATCTCAAAATAGCAATTATTATCCTTAGAAAAACGGTGTATAGATAATAGATTCTTTCGTATAGCGGGAACACATAGAACATCAGTAAGTTTCAAAAGACCAATATTAGTTTGACCAATATGACTTATTGAGAGACGAGTGCCATTACCTACAATAATGGAGTCATTACCTGCATACGGTTTCACAAAGGGGAGTTAAGAAGGACTGGACACCATATAATGGGTTGCCCCGAAGTCAACATTGTAAGTGTGTGCATTTTGTGATTTTCTTTTGGCTTCCCTTGACAATTTTGTAATAGGACAATCATTGTATTTTCCCAAGCTCTAGTTTAGATTAGAATTTCTTTTCTAGGTGTTCTTATCATGCTACAATTTGAGGGATAATCAATGTGTTTGACAAAGGTAATTTCTGCATTGCATCATATTGCATTCACTAAATTTCTTAAGATTATGACTAGTCATCCTTTGCATCAGTAGGATTTCCAACTCACTGGTTTCCAATTGGATCCTACCCAACTTTTTTGCCCTATTCTGCTAATTCCCTTTGCTGCCATGTTTACTTTCTGACCTATAGGAATTTTTGGGTAAAAGCCAAAGAATTCCTCATTTGGCAGCCATCTCTTTTGCATATGAAGATAGTTCGGATTGGGTTTTTGTTAGAAAATATATATTTTAAATTGACGATCAAATTGGTTCATTGTATTCAAATAGGGTCAAGGAATGTAGCTGTAAAAAATCATCAAAATCGGAGTTAAAATAACTGTTTAATCGTGATTTTTGTTTATAAC